AAGTGGCGCTGTGGCTCAAGTGGTAGAGCGCTAGCCTTGAGCTGAAGAGCTGAGGGACAGCGCCCAGGCCCAGAGTTCAGGCCCCATGACTGGTCCCCTCCCCCCCAAAAGAAATAATATATAAAACATATACATGCTATATGATTGTATTTTTATATAATGTATATTATATGTAATATATTCTATATGTAATACATATATTTAGTATTTACTTGTTTTGGTCTGGGGAGGGAAACGTTACTGGACTTGGACTTAGAGCCTGAGCATGTCCCTCAGCTTTCCCTTTAGCCCTGAGCTTTGGCTCAAGGCTGGTGCTCTATCACTTAAGCCACATATAGCTCCACTTATGGCCTTTTGCTGGCTAAATATTATCTCAGTAGTCCTGACTGAGCTGTCCTGGATGCACGATCCTCGGGTCACAACCTCCTGAACTAGGATTTACAGATATGAGCCACTGGCATCCGACTAAATATTTTCAAATATATGTTTATCCAGTTTTAACACTAAAGCATCATATTCATACTCTATTCTAGTATAATGATGTTTCTCAGTATAAATATATACTTATTTATATGAAGAGATGTAGATAAGGAGATAACATTCTATATAATGGCCACAGGGCATTCATTGATTATAAGTGACACAAGGAAAGTACCACAATTTATTCAACTAGTGCTATACTGTTTATCTAGCTGTTTTCAAGGTTCTTTTTTTGCTTTGGTTTTGGTCTTTTCTAACATGCAGCGCTGAGTGTAAATATCCTTATGCATCTATACAATAGTATCTAAGTTCCTGGAAGTGGAATTGGAGGAATGATACATGGGCTTAAAGTTTTTGAAAAAATGCTAATTACTCCTTAAAAATGTATCATATCCACTCACATTTATAGTCCAAATCTTAGCAGGCTCCTATCATGTGATAGGTGATAGGGAAACGTGGACAACATGCATTTTTTGCATTAAAAATACTCCCCCAAATGAGAGAAATAAAAATGGAGCCCAAGCCCAAGATTTCCACAAGGTATTAGGTATAGTTTTCCATATATTAGGAAAACTGAATTCTGTTACAAGTGAAAGAGTAAAGGCTATCATGTCTGGAGATAGACGAGTATACTAAATTAGAGCTAAAACTTGAGATAATTATGATAGTAAAAATTTTAAAGTAATTTTTGTTAGTTTTTAATTCTGTGTGTGTGCATGTGTGAGTATATGCACATACATGTATGCGTGTGCTGGTTCTGGGGTTTGAGCTCAGAACCTCTTACTCTTGCTTGGCTTTTTCACTCAAGGCTAGCTGGCACTCTACCATTTGAGCCACACTCCCACTTCGGGATTTTTGCTGATTGATTAGAGGTCTCATAGACTTTTAGGCCTGGGTTGGCTTCAAACCACAATCCTCAGATCTCATGGTCCTGTGGCTAAATTCTATCTTCTGAGTGTACCTCATGCTCATTGTGAGTAATCTTCACAAAAATTTTACAACTAGATAAACATAGAAAAATCAGAGTTATTAAAGAAATTAATGAACAAATGGGTAAAAAAAGACCAGTACCTTTAACATTTTAAAGACAATTATATTTCAACCAATCTTAAATCTACAGATATTTACAATTCTGAAAATTTTCCTATAATTGAAAATAGTAGATTGGTAATTAGAAAAAAAGATAAAGATAAAAAAAGATAACACAGTTTCACAGCTTACAATTAGGGACATTCAAAGCTTCATATTAAATTATTTAAAAAAAATCTTTTGCAACTTGTGAAAGTATTTGATAGGCATATAGTGGCCCCCAAATGCAAAAGATAAAACAGTGTATCAACTTGTCAATATTTTAACATGCAATAGTTGCATGGCTATAAAAATTACTTTTACCACATGCAATATTTGGGTCTGGAATGTCCTTAAATGCGCCCATGTGTTAAAGGCTCAGTTTCTGGCTTGGTGTTATCGGGAGTGGTGGAATCTTCAGGAGGTGGAGCCTAGTTGGAGGTCTTCTGGTCATTGGTTGCATTTCCTTGTTAGGAACAAGGGAACCTAGCCCTTGCTCTTCCCTCTCTCTTCCTCTCTCTTTTGTGCAGCCCATGAGGTAAGTTGCTTGCTCCACCACACATTCCTGAACACGATGTACTTCCTTGTCATAGGCTCAAAGAAATGGATCCAACTAAATATGGACTGAAATTTCCAATACTATCAGCCAAAATAATTTTTTTTCTAATCCATACTGGTGGCTGCTAATATAGGATTTTGCTTCAAAGCCAGCCTGAGCAGATCAATCCCTAACACTGCTATCACCAATCAATCAGTCTAAAAGCCAGATGTGGAGATTTGGTTGGTGTTGTAGAGCTCTAGTCCTGATCAAAAAAGCTTATCAAGAGCAAGAGATCCTGAGTTCAAGCCTTAGCATTTGTTAAATAAATAATAAACATTTTCAATTATAAGTTGACTGTCTCTAGGGCTTGTACAGTAACAGATAGCTGACTCGCAGCCTACACATCTTTGAATCTTACATTCTTTCCTGTAGTGATAGACTTCCATAGAACAACTAGGAATTCATCTGGTATTATTAACTTTAAATTACATATTATTATTATGTATGTAGTCTACCTGAAGTATGAAACTGTGCTAAAAGGGAAATGAATGCTTGAAAACTTTGTGCATTTTAAGGCACATTTCTACATTGTTAAGTTCTGTACAAACAAGCTTCTCAAACAAGCTTCACTCAGCCCAGAGTCATTTAAAGAATTCATATCTCAAAGTAATTGGAAGCAGTATTGGAAAAGACAAAGAATTTTATCTTTGAAAGGCATACCTATGTTTTCTGTTGGTATTGTGTATGGTGAGTGAGTACACTAGCACTAAAACAGTTCTTAGCTAGATTTCCTACAGCAAGCCAGCCAAATACTCATTTAAGACATTAACAACTCAGCCTCTCTCACTTTTCTACATCCCCAAAGAAGTTACTGAGAACCAAGAAAAGAAGTCACAAAAGACTAACTGGAGGATGGAAAGAAAAGACAAACCAGATTGAGCTGGCTGGCTACAAAATGTGTTTCTTACCCTTGGGTGCACAGAATAACTTACCTTTGTTTTCAACAAAACCTAAGTTTGATCACTGTGCTACAAAATAACCACTGTAAGAAAAACATGCAATTGGAAGCAGAGATATTGCTCAAGTGGCAGAAGCCAACTCTGAGCAGTAAAGGCGAGGCAACAGCAAGAGGATCTGAGTTCAAGTCTCAATACTGAACCTCTCTCTAAATAGATTTGCCAGGTGCTGATGGCTCAGACCTATAATTCTAGCTAAGCAGAAGGCTAAGATCTCAGGATTGAAGTTCAAAGTCAGTCCAGCAGGAAAGTCTATGTCATTCCCATCTCCAATTAACACCCCCCCCCAAAAAAAAACATTGGACAGGAAGCTTAGCCTTGAGCAAAAAAGCTAAGGAACAAGCCTTAATATTGGAAAACTTTGTAAAACATCTTAACTGGGTTGAAATTCTTGAAAATATGACAAGGAAAGCTGGGTAGGTGAAAGAGAAACTTTGAAAGCAGTCTATAATTAATCAATAACATACATGAGACATTTGACATAAAACAAAATGAAAAATCATACTTATTTATTCTTAATTATCTTTAAGTTGTTGTACAAAGGAGTTACCATTCAATACTTCAGTTTATGAATACAATGCATCTTGATGTTACCCCTTTCAGCAGTCTTCCCTATCACTCCCAGCCTTACCCCTTTCCTTAATTTCCTAAATTTCATAGAATATGCATTAACTTATATTACTGTATTCTCCCGCACTACCTCTCTTCATTTGTCTATGCCCTCTTCTTTTTTTTCCTTTTGGACCATTTTAATTTATTAAGAAAAATGATTAATGAACAATAATTAAATGTCACTAAAATGAATCAGAGATGAGTTTTCCACAATCTTGGCAATATCAATTATACATATTTGAGGAAACTGAAATTCAAAAGCATTGTGGTTTGTCCAGGTAAACACAGTAGATAACTGAGAATTCTTTTCTTCTGGAGTGATCAAAAATACCCGATTTCTTCCTGTGCTAATAGTCATTAGTCCAAATATCTGACACCAATTCTGTTAGTGGTTCATTTCAATTCTGACACGAGGAGTGCATAATTCCAAGTTAGCCTAGACCTCATAAATTAAGTGGTTTATCTTACAAGAATTCCATCATTGTATTACTAGTTTATGCCCTCTTCTTAACTCCACCCTCCACTTTTTGAGTACCTGTCTCTTGGTATTCATTTTGTTGGACTGTGAGTTATCCTTTCTAAGGAATGGCACCATTTGAATTCTTGTCTGAAAATACCATATTTTGGTTAATATATTTGTATACACTTGTATATAGTCCAAAGTGTATATTAGAACATTTATAAATTTGTTCTAGCTTATGAGAGAAAACATTTGTCTTCTGTCTCTTTGGGGCTGACTTCACTTACAATGATATTTTCCAACTCCATCCATTTCTTTGCAAATGATGTGATATCCTTCTTTCTAATGGATGAGTAAAGTTTCATTGTGTATATATACCACACTTTATAAATCCATTTGGTGTACAGTGCTATAATAAACATGGTTGTAGAGGTGGCTTTATTATATCTTACTTTGGAATCTTTTGAGTAAATGCCCAAGATTGTTATTACTGGATTGTAGGATAGTTACACGTTTAGTTACTTGAGGAATCTCCTACTGCTTTCCAGAGGGGTTGAGCAAGTTTCCAGTCCTACTAACAGTATAGTAGGTTATCTTTCCCCCACATCCATGACAGGATCTGTTATTATTTGTATTCTTGACGATGACCATTTTAACTGTTATGAGATGTAACCTCAGTGTTGTTTTGATTTACATTTCCTTCACAGCCAGAGATGTTGAGAATTTCTTCATGGATCTAGTAAGTATCTTTACTTCTTCTTCAGAGATGCCTTTACTTAGCTTATTTGTCCACTTATTAATTAGGTTGAGTTCAATGCAATACCCATAAGAATCCCAGTATTCTTCACTGAGATAAAGTACATAATACAAAAATTCATATGAAACCACTAAAAGCACCAAATTGCAAATGTAATCCTGAGCAGAAAAAGTAGTGCTAGAGGTACAACAATTCCAGATTTCAAACCTACAGTAATATAAACAATTTAGTATTGGCACAAAACAGGCCCAAAGACCAACGGAACAGAATAGAAGACATGGAAATAAACCTACAGCCTAAAGCCAGGGAATAGTTGATAAAGGGAGCCAAACCAGCCTCTTCAACAAATGGTGTAGGGAAACTGGATATCCACATGCTGAAAACTGAAACCGATTCCTATTTGATATATTGATGTCAAGTCCAAATGAACAGCTCATCGTAAGACCTAAAATTATGAAACTATATAGGAAGGAATGGGAGGACTTCTCAACATAGGACAGGCAAAAACTTTCTGAGTAATGCTCCAGGGGCTCAAGAAACAAAGAGAGAACTAGTGATGGGATCCCAGAAAACTAAGAGGTTTCTGAATATAAAAGGACATAGTTACAAGTTAAAAAAGCCTACAAAATGAGAGAAGATATTTGCCAGCTATATATCAGACAGTGGCCTAACAGACAGAACTTAAGAAAATACTTCATTTTTAAGATTTTTTTCCCTTTAGTATGCAGGGTTCATAGAAGTTTATTAACAAAAATATTGAATTATATGTGTTAATACAAAATAAGGCTAAAGTATGTTGACTTTTTTTAAAAAAAAACACAAACACAACACTTTCTGCATGAATCTTATCTCCTAGTTCCTCACTTTCCCTGTACTCCAAAAGTATGTACTTTCTCTATTTTGCTCTCCATTTTGCTTGACCTAGCACACAAGCATGGCAGACAGAGAACACAAGAGGCCCCAAATTCCATAATGGCTGTTTGAAAGGGGAAGGAAGCTATAGTAACTGCCACACTGATTTCATTTATAGACGAGTGACAATATCCTCCATGTTTCTGGCACATGAAATAACCAGACAGTGGCCCAAGAAGCCAGCTGTAGCAAAAAATGGGCAAAAGAACTGTGTCCAAAGTCAGTAGGAAGTGGTCTGCAGTCAACTGGGCCTTCCAGCTCTCTGGTATTTGCTTTTAATGGGCAGAAAATATTTTCAAAGCATCACAGCAATGAAAAGAAGACCCATGCCTCTAGGAGTTGACATCCAGAATACAAGAATGCAAAATCTAGTTGGGTATCAGTGACTCATGCCTGTAATCCTAGCTACTCAGGAGGCTGAGATCTGAGGATTGTGGTTCAAAGCCATTCCAGGAAGGAAAGTGGGTCACCTTCTTACCTTCAATTAACCACCAAAAAGTCAGAAGGGAGACAACAAAGTTAGTAGTAGAGATAACACCCAGGCCCTAAGTTCAAGGCCCAGGGCCAAAACAATAACAAAAACATTTTTCTTAATTCAAAATCATCTTCTACCTTTGTGCTGATTTTTTTGGCTAAAATGAAGTAGATAAAATTCATTTTTATAATATTGTGTGTATGATAACATAACTTCATTTATTAGTAAATATATTTGAGTGCATGACATGTATCCCACTTTTTTAGTATCTTTACATTTTAGTTCTATATGTCTTATTTTAAATTTTGTCTAACTTTTCAGAACTTATTGTATCTTCCTCCATATTAGTCATCTATAATATGCCACTTTTTAGTCATTATCACAGTTATCAGTATTACTATTATTGTTTTTACTATATTAATGATGAGTAACTAGAAGCTCATAAGTTTTACAATTTTCTTGCAAAAAGAATTTCTTGAGAAACACTCAATCATTTTGACTTTGGATCAGAGGATAAATATTGTCCCTTTATTTAGCAACTGATCTGTTTTAAGTGAACTCTACAAAATGATGTATGCATGGAACAAGGTAAGATATCAACAGTAACAATGAAAACAGCAGCACAGTTTTGTAATGAACAACAATAGGCCCACCTATATAAAGGTTCTATTGGTTTGGGTTTCTGTTCTTTGCTCAGAGCACAGAGTCTTGGAAAGGGGGTTAGGCTCTACAACCTGGTGCTAATACCAACATGAAGGAAGTACTTAAACTTATCAGGCTGAGCTTGGATTCTCAGTTTCCTCACTCCTGAAATGGTCATCTTATAAGTTCTCTAAGAATATTCTAGCCTAAAATGTTCCCATGCTAAGGCATAGTTACGAGTTAATACAATTACAAACTCAGGGAAAGAGAGAGTAGGAGGGGAGAAGGCTGCTTCTAACCATAGGAACTAGACCATGTTGGTCTTTTGTTGCCCAGGCTGAAAAAAAGCAGTTCATCCAGAAAACACAATGGTACTCCTGCTCTTACAATCATTCTAAACTGATTATTGTTATGCCTGTGACTATTGGTGTTAAACAATTCCTGATCATAGCAACCTTAAAACAATATTGTTTTACAAATAAAGTGAGTTTGTCAATCTCATCCATTTTTCTACCACCCTCTTGCTTATTGCAGACAATTTCCAACATCCATCTTTACTTGGAGCTAGAAACTCACTGCAGCTCTCTCTTCCTGTGGTGAGTGATGCCACTTCTCTAACAGGAAATGTCTACAACTTTTCCAGAGCCTCAACTCCAGTTGACACTTTAGCATGGTCATCAATCTCTGGCACCTTTTTCCAGACACTCATGGGGAATAACTACATTTATCAACCTTCTAGCACACCCATGCTATCAGGGATTACTGGCCAGAACCATATGCCCACTTCCACTTCCTCCTGTCCCAGTGCTTTTGTATGGGATTATTTGGGAAAAAAAAAAGAAAAGAAGTCATCTGGACTTGGAGATTTCACAGCGACTCTCATTGACCAGGGCACAGCAGTCCCTTCAATGGCTGTGACATCTCGTTATGTGGATGCCAATGCCATAGTCACTCTGTATCCATCACTGTCTGCTGGTCTGGTTCAGGGGACACTATCTCAGATTTCAAATCAAGGACATAGCCTGTTACTTTCCTACTGTGAAAGAAACCAAGTCTATTACTATAGTTTAAGCACAGGAGTATTTGTTTTCCGGAGACCTTGGTCCCTGCTTGCTATCGTATGTCTCTGTGTCATACACAAGGAGTAGTGCATCTCTGTGTCCCTCAGCCAGAAATAGCAATGATGCTCAAATGTTTTGCCACTGGTCTCTACCTCTGGAATCTCCTACTCTACTACTCTGCTCAATCCATCACAGAAACTCATTTTCAAGGTAAATACAGAGTGGAAAAAAGAATGAGATTAACATCCCAAAGAAAGGTTAAATCATAGCCGAGTAGTGATGAGTTTATAGATAGGTAGAGTTTAAGTCCTGAATCTTAGCATGACCCTCTCTTTCAGACTCTATATGAGGCAGACAGGGCTGAGAACATGGCTGAAGTGGTAGAGCACTGACATACTTTTGACCTGAGTTCCACCCTCAGTACTGCTATAAATTAATTAAGGAAATATGAAACCATGTGATGGTCATCTGTTTTATACTTAAGTGACCTCCAAAGCACACTCATTGAGGCCATACTTTTCAATGGTTCCAAACCCATCACACTGTAATTAACTCCTTTTTTATATGGTTTTTGGTTTCTTTTTTGTGTGAATAATGGTTAAATTTTTGTGGGATTAATAGTACATCTTTCCCTAATTTTCTTGCATTGAGAGATACTGTTCAAAGGTAGCAGCCTTTGAGAGTGTTGATGGAGTTCATAAGGCCTAAAGTCCAGCGCCAGAAACAGAGTACCTTTGGAGGAAGAAATGAACACAGCCAAGCATTCTACCAGCAAACCTCCAAATGCTGCAACCAGCAGAGTCAGTAAAATCAAGGGCCATAGGCAGGAAAAAATAAAAAAAGATAAAAAACCCACAAGGATCAGAAAAAAACACCTCCAAGAAAGGTAAAGAAAAGAAGCTATCAGGGAACAATATCCATACAGAGAAGACAATCATTCCCAAAATGAAGCACAAGAGAAGTCAACCAGATCTCAGCGAAGACACCTTCAAAAGGCCTCAAACCAACCTTGGCATGCAGATGTTGGGAGTCAGTACAGCTTTTTCATGCACTAGGAAGAAACACAAGAAACCAACTTTTCCCCAGCTATGAAATCACAGCTGGTATTCCACATGAGGGCAAAGGTTCTAAAAACATTCAAATCAAGGAAAGGGATAGGAGTGAAAACCAGTATATATCCCCATCCCAGGATGAGCTGCCTCCACCTGGGAAGGTCAAGTTGATTCCTTCACCTTTTCTAACCGCTGAGAAGCCTCACACTCGACTAGTTTCTCACAGGTCACAGTCTCTGGCCTCCTGGAGGCCCACTATACCTTACCCTGCTTGACCTTAGTCTAACACAACTCAACCTGCTGCAGTCTGCCCACCTCAACCAGCTACTGCCACCACATTTCATGAGTTCTACTAAAACTTCTCAGCCAATTGCAGCCAATACAACCACACAGGGGTTGACCAAACCTCTTCAGCCTAGTGTGTCTCAGTCTGCTGTTGCTAGTCCTGAACCCTACAAAACATCATATGTCACTCTTTCCAGCACAAGCCCGTGCCAACTGCTGGGACCAAGCTCCAGTTACTATCTAAGCTTTAGTATCTACTCCAAGATTTCAGCCACCAACCAATTCCATGGAGAAACCCCAATATTCCTGGGGCAGTAGTATAAAATCACATCACCTTGGAACAGAGGCCAAAGCATGAAGCCATGAAAAAGAGTTGTTTTGGAGTAGAGGTGGGGATCAAAGGCTATATTGGAAAGAAGATACTGAAAGCTGGGTGAGAGAACAGGGTAACAGGAGAAAATTAAGAACTTAGACAAGAATATGGCTCAGGAAGAGAAAGGACAAAAAGGAGAATTTATATAAGTTCATATGGGCTAAAAGGAGAAGTAAGATATGAAGTCTGAGTTTTGAGTTCAAAGAATAAAACTTTAAAAAATGTTAAAAAGAGCAGACTTGCATGACCTGAGAAATGTGAAAACATATCTCATAGAGAATAGAAACATGTCTCATAACCCACCTGATAAATAAATTTAGCAGTGGCTAATGTTTGTGATCCTAGCTACTAAGAGGCTGAGATATGAGGATCACAGTTCCATTATAGGTTGAAAATAGCAAAAAATGATGCTGTGGCTCAATTGTTAAGAGCACCAGCCTTGAGCAAAAAAGCTAACAGAGATCTTCCTGGCCATGAGCTCAAGCCCAAATACACACGCACGTGCACACACAGACACACACAGACACACACAGACGCACAGACACACACATACAACACACACCATCACTTAGGAAGTAAGACTCAGTATACAATGCCAACATGTTTGAGTTATCTAAGATTAGAAATGGGAAGCAAAGCTGGGTGCTGGTGCCTCACACCTGTAATCCTAGCTACTCAGGAAGCTGAGACCTGAGGATCACAGTTCAAAGCCAGCCCAGGTAGGAAAGTCCATGAAACTCTTATCTCCAATAAACCACCAGAAAACCGGAAGTGGCACTGTGGTTCAAGTGGTAGAGCATTAGCCTTGAGCTGAAGAGCTGAGGGACAGCGCCCAGGCCCAGAGTTCAAGCCCCTCAACTGACCAAAATAAAAAAGAAGAAGAAGTGGGAAGGGAATATATAATATGGGGGAACTCTACCACTGAAGAGACAGGGTGAGCATCATTCCAGGGACAGAAGTTAACCTGGGGCTTAGCCAAGTTAACTACAGCAGCATGAATTCTTCCCACAACATGGCCTGACCATAAATGACCATTTATTTACCACACAATGCACAGACTGCAAGAAGTACTTCCTCAAACACACAAGGCCAGTATCATTGTTCAACTTGATTAGTGAGGTTCAGGTGGATCACATGCCAAAGGTTCAAGACCTCCATTGGAGGCCTGAGTATCTGAAGTGTGCAGAGATCACAAGTGCCCCTAGGTGTCCACTCTGGTTTCCTACCAGAGTAACCAGCGCTTCCAGGGGATGAGGTCAAATATCTGAAGGACTAACTGAGCTATGTTCTTCCCCGCTCATCCTGGTGCATGTTGCCTTCTTCAACCATCCCTAGCAAAGGAACTGCATGAGAAAAATCTGGTCCTCGTGACCATTCTTGGCCAGGAGAGTAGTATTCACACAAGTACAGTCAAGTGCAATCACCTTCCAAGCTTTAAGGGCCTGTGCTCAACTGCAGAGATGACTCAAGGCATAGCTGGAGGAAGAGTGGGTGGTAGGGACTGAGAGAGGACAGGAAAGAAGTATACAGTAGGAGAAGGAGATAGGATGGAGGATCATCAAGGGAAAATTCCTAAATTGCATTGAAAAATTATTTCTTGAGATCTAATTCATAAAACTCAACATTTCCAAGCGTACAACCGAGTGGCATAACAGTTCATTATCAAAAAGGAAACACTCCTACTCTATTTTTTTCATGCTTGTACTGGAACTTGAACTCAGGACCTTGGTGCTGTACCTTAGCTTTTTTCACTCAATGATAGCATACTTCCACTTAAACTATACCTCCACTCTTGACATTTTCCCAGTTAATTGTAGATAAGAATCTCACAGGTTTGTCTGTGCAACCTAGCATGGAATGTTGATCCTCAGATCTCAGCCTCCTAAGGAGCTTGGATTACAGGCATGAGCCACCGGCCCTTGGCTAATTTCTACCTCACATTCACTGTTAGCAATCATCACAAAGATTTTACAACTGGATACAGTGATAAGGTCACAATTATTAAGGAAACGAAGAAAAGAATAAGTGAATTGACAAAAGGGTACTAATTTTAACAATTTCAGAAAAGACATAATCCAACCAATCTTAAACCCACAAACATTTACACTTCTGAAAATTTTCCCCTAATAAAAAGGCCAATATTAGTAAATTGCTAAATAGAAAAAGAAAAAAAACAGTGTTAGCATAATATATAAGTTTGACAACTTATCATTAGACACATTCAAAGCTTGACTTTACATTATAAATTAACATTTTGGAATATATGAAATATTTGATAGTCACATAACATTCCTAAAGGACAAAGGGTCTGAATGTTCATAGACATGATTGAAGCATAGGAAATGTGACATAAATCTATCAAAAATTAGAAAAGCTTTATTGGTCTTATACTTAAAATTTGCTAAGAAGCCACAAACTTTGAGTGAGAACAAACTCATTTATGGTTGACATAAGGAAATCTAGACCTAAGCAGAATCAAGTTTCTAAAAGGTATGGTAAAATGTAGGCCTTTGTATAGGAGCAACTCCAAAGAGAGGTAAAAGAATGCATTCACCGTACATTGTACTATACTGAATAGAAAATACAGGAGCAAGGGATATTTGGAGCAACAAACATTTAACAAGTTTATACAAACAAAATATTTCCATCACTGGTAGAATACCCTACAGGAATATAAGGACTTCCAGTCTTGAATTAAAACCAAAAGGAATAAGGAAGGGCCTCTGGAGTAAGATGAGCTGTGTGTGGCTGAAAGTGGTAGAGCACTATGCTTGAGCAGTGAAACTCAAGTACAGCGCTCATGCCCAGAGCTCCATCTCTGGCACCTGTGAATACACAACACAACACACACACACACACACACACACACACACACAGAGTAATGTTAGTGGTTAAGATGATACTGAGACTGCAAGTTTGAATGAAGTGGCTGCAGCAACTATAGAGAGAAAAGACTTAACTTGGTGGTAGACCTTTACACTACAGAACAATTAGGTTCAAGCTATAGATTCAGATTCAAAATGCTGCTACACTATACCCTATAACCATTAAAGCCAAGCTAAGAGACAATTGGGTTGGGGTTAAGTAGCTTGTCACTCTGTGGTGGGGCCAGCTCTTCCTTGCTATGTTGGGAGACTCTGGACTTCTTAACTTTGTCAATTTGTATTCTGTTGCACTGTGATCATGGCTTGTGGGCCAGGCAAGCTAAAGAAAATACCTTCAGATACTAGAGTTTGTCTAGCATGCCCCTTTGCCATCAGTTTTAGAAATCGCTCAAGGACCCTCATCCTGTTAGCCAACATCTATGGGATGCTTCAAGTCATCAGTTATTGCTGCCATGGCATCCA